TATATATATATATATATATATATATATAAATGCATCAATCTAAGTAACATTTCCCACAGTCGGAGAAAACTCCGTTTGGTTTAGAAATGCAGATTTTTCTTGCTTCTTTTCTGCTTCAAAATGTTCTCAAAATCAGAAACGTTAAGCTTTTATTTTGTCAGAGGTTTATGTGTTTAATTGAACTGACTTCATTAGTAAATTCAGTTTTGTTTCTGTGAAGTAACTTATCAAAATATATTAAATATTTAGTATGAAAACCAACAAATATCCTTTTGTTAACGCAACTGTGTCAGCGAATATTTCATCACAATAGTATTTATATTTTTGTCCGTCAGATCTTATAGCTGCAGATGTTTTGACATAAATTCAACATCGTTGTAATTCTGCCTTTTAATTCAACAGAAGATGATCATAAATCTCTAGGTTTCAGACAAAAATCAGCTGTTTTTAGGAGTCAAAGTCTTAAAATTTGAAAGAAAAGATCATTAAAATCATCTTTAAATACTTAAAGATACTTAAAGAGTTTAAACCCAGAGCAGGTATCCTCTGATGTGTCTTAATAATAAGAAGTGGATGATTCAAATGTTTGACTCGTGTTTCCAGGACCTTCCAGGAAGCTGCGGCATCACGGACCTCCACGCCGCCCTGTCTCTGTCCGAGGTCGGAGAGCGCCGCTTGTTCCTCATCGGCACCTACGTGAAGAGGGGCGAGAAGGAGCTCGGCTCCGGCGTCCAGGACGCCCGGGACCTGATCATCCAGATGGTTTGTGACGGCAGATGAGACACTCCCTCTGTCCGGTGTGATAGCATCCAGCAGGTTCTCTCTTCGATGTTTTAGCTCGGCTGAAGCTCCTATTTATTCATGAGAATATTTAAATATATTTGTAGTTCTGCTTTAGTAGAGTTTGGATTATTCAAACTTCCAGATTCTGGATTTAAATGTGTGAAACTTCACTGACTTTGAATTTGTTGCTCCATCGTTACCAAAAGTAAATGAGTGATTTTGTGATTTTAAGCTGAGGGCCGACAGGTGTTCAAATATCATCTTCACCAAAGAGTTATTTTCAGAGTCTCGTCAGCAGAGACGTGAGTGTTTCACATTAAAAGACTCCCGGTGGGTTTAGATTCACGCAGGACGTCACCAGCGATGAGCTAACAGGCTGTTAGCATCATAGAGGTCGTTTTTCATGTACCGTTGCATGTAACCGGCAGTTGTCATGATGTTTGTCACGTGATCCACAGAATATTTAAAACCTCGACAGTAAGACCTAAAGCTGTACTGGACAAAGTTTAATACAAAGTACAAAAATGAATCTCCCATCCCTTCTGATAAATATTAAAACATGAGGCTCGCTGTGTTCAGCTCAGTGATGGTACGTGTCAGGATTTCTGGGTATTTAAATTTAAACGTCTTTAAACTGTTACCTCTGTCTGCCATGTGGGGGCGCCAACATGCAAACTATCACAGCTTTAAGAAGCAGTTGAGCTTTCTGATGCGCTGTTAACATGTAAACTAAAATATATATATATATATATATAATTAAAAAAAGCTTAACTTCAACAGGAACACCGCAGCTATTTAATGTCTGAATAAAACAGTTGAATGAAGTCGGTGAAGTGGAAACTGAGGGCTGTTTTCTGTAAAGATCAGCTGTTTTATCGCCTTTTTATTTTTGAATAATCAGATATCTAGTCACTGAACTTACGAACTTTAACACAACCAAATCATTGTGTGTAATTGTTGGATTAGCTTTAAAACATTCTTGCTTTTATTATCTCTTTTCCAGATGTCTTTGTGTGTTTTTTGCTGTTGAGAGAGATGCTGCCTGGTTCTTGTTATTTCGTCTTAAAGCTGTTTTATTTGGTGAAATCTGCTTAATGAATCACGTCTGTTAACTCTGGGATGAAGGGGAATTACGTTGTTGTTGTGTGCAAAGCCTTCATGTGTTACATTTGTCTCGGAGTGTTTTTCTAATACCAGAACATGTCCAATATACAGTAATGATCAACACTTTGATTGTCTTTGTACTGGTTTTCCACTCTCAAATAAATAGATTGCACTAAACTGATTGGTGTGACTTTTTATTGTAGCTGTGAGAGTTGAACCCGTGACCTGCTGGACGCCCCGCGGCGCCACATTTGTGGGTATAGAACTAATAATAGCAGCTTATCTGAGGATGGAGACTGACTGAGGACATCGGAGCTCTTCTATATCTGGAATGTGATCCAAACACAAAGCAGCTCTCCAGAATCCACGGCCACGCTTCACCGCTCACCTCCACGTATCGCTTTCGCTTTGACGGAAGCAGTCTTGAGACGGTGAGGCGGCTTCAGTGTGCGGACTCCAGTTTCAAGGAGTCCTCGGGTGTGATGTTGGTTGCGAAGGACTCCTGGCTTCATAGCAACAGCAGGAAGGTAGTGTGACACCGTCGACAGGCAGCGAGGAGACGCGTCCAGCTGAGATGTCTGGAGAACCAGGTGAGTTAATCGTGTGCCTCGCGGCCTTCAAATAGTCCGAGTCTCATGTGTTCTGTCTGATTTCTTTTTCTTGTTGATTTTTTTTGTGCAGGTATTGAGTCCAGATTTGGTCCATCAAACAGGTGCAGGAACAACATTCTCATTAATTCTACAAACAAAATACAACATTTTTACCAATCTTAAAGTTTGTTGAAAGAAAATATTGCCTACTTTTAAACTATTTTAATTGTTGCATGTTTGTTGCATCTGTTTATTTACTTCTCATTTCTATCTATATTTTTTATAATACTTTACACTTATAGTTAGCCATAAGTAATGCATAAACAATATATATATATATATATATATATATATATTAATTAGTGCAGCTTTTTAATGTTCTAATTCCCTTGTTTTATTTAGTATCTATTTCATTCATATAATTGTTTTATGCTTTTCTTACCTCTTAGTCTTCGTGCTGCTGTAAGTTACTGTGAATTTCCTCCTAAATTGATCTTAATTTCGTCTTTATTGAATTATAATAAGTTGATAACTACCGGTCCAAAGTTTAATGTCATCCCTCTAATTCCCTTAATTTATTACATCATTCAAATAGTTGTTGAGCTTCTTTTCTTTCCTCTTGGTCTCTGTGCTCCTGTCATGTTTCTCTTTCTCATGTTTTCTCTTATTTTCTTCTTTGTTGTATTTATGAGTGTCGATGTCCACTTTCTTTATTTCAGGTTCTTACTTGTTTTGGTAACGCATTATTTGACCCCAGCAATTAAACATTTAATAAGCAGCATATGAACATTCAATACATGTTTTTAACGCACTATAATGTACCACAGAACACAGATATTTAGTCTTATTTATTTCGGTGTAGTAATTATCAACTTGTAGTCCTCCTGGGAAGCGTCCATAACTATAAACATGATGAAAGACAAAATATAACACAGTTTAATTATAAAAAATATGTCTTCATAGAAGAAGTTATGATTGTTAAAATGACTGCACATTAATAGATACTTAAATGTCTGAAGATTGTATTACATGCTTGTAAACTGCTCATAAATAGTAAATATAGGGTGTTAAAGCGAAGTGTTGCCGATGTTATTCATGTGTTACTATGTTGATAAACCTCCTGGACAAAATCTAAAAGCCAAAAATGTCAACTTTTCTCTTTCAGTCGGTCGTTCTGTCGTGAAACTGTTCGACTCACAGATAAACGTAAACAGTTGAGTCTCTGACTTTGATCAGTGGCCACAGTGAGGTTTAGAGTTCGAAGCAAACTTCTTTACAAGTGAACAGAGAGAGCAGTTTGTGAATGTCACAGCTCTGCCAGAAAGAAGAAGAAACCCTCGACACAGACGGGAAACCCACTGACTGATTGCATGTCCCCCCCCCCTTTGGGCCCAGAGTCTCTACGCTCGTATTTAGAGCTGATTTGTGTTTTTTGGGGGATTGTGTGTTTTCTCTGCAGAGTCTTGGAGCTCGCGCAGCACAAAACCTCAAAAACAGTTTGGGCCACGACTCCTTGGTGAGTAGCTGAGTCATACCACATTCAGTCACATATTTAAAAACAAATAACTTTTGCCCAAGAGATGTATGTTCATTGTTATTATTATTTCTGGTTATTCTGTCTATAAACATGAATTCTGTTCCAGCTGTTGCATCATATAATAATTGCACGTTTCTTCATCGATCTGCTGTGAAATGAACTCCAAGAATTCAGGAGCCTCTGTGGTTGGCGTTTCCTTCCTCCAGCGGTTTCTTTAAACGGCATAATAGGAGGCAGATGTCTGGCACGCTTTGAATGTGCGGTTAAAACAGAAAAACAATGCGTAAATGAACGAGAGGCCACATTTGATTGAGACTATCATTCTTTCATTTGGTCATCGCTCGCTTGGAAAATATTCCTTCTGCTTCTGCATTTGTCATCGCCGCGTCTCCTCATTGGAAACCTTTTCATCCTTTCATTGATCAGTGGGAAGCTGAGCTGGGGCAACCAGGAGCCGATATGGCCCCTCTCCGCTCCAGCGCTCGGAGCCGTTCCAAGTGCAAGAATCCAATACCTAGCCAGACACAAAAGAGACTTCTCAGCAAGGGAGGACCAGCAGAGGTAACTGTAGCCTGTCTGCACCCACGGAACGTTACTGATGACTCTTGTAGAGGGAGGGGGGGGTTTGTGTTCATGCTGTGTTCATCACAAGCCTTTTATGCTGCCGTCAACATATTTCAAAAATATGTTTGCAAAGCTGAAGGAAGTAATGATGACTTTGGCATAGAGTTGATTCAGGAAAAGCGAACTGCAAAGTGATGTTCAGGACTGATGCCAGCTGCATCCGGATCAGAGGTGATCACTTCTGTCTGGATAAATTAGTAGACGAGAAGCCGTTGTTGTTTGTTGTTTTTCCTCCCCTCTGCCTCAGCTGTCAGATTAAAAAGTAACATCCAGTGTAATTCAATCAGAAGCCCTCACAGGAAGCACAGCTCCCAGAAGAAATAACAGTAATATCCTGTAATTGAAGATGACGGCAGTCACCTGCTGGTTTGGTTTGAAGCAGGAAGAGCTGCAGAATGCACACAGTTTGTATATATCGGCTTGTTTAGTTGAGTTCTTAATATATATTATGATGAATGTATTCTGTTTATTCTGATAATTACACTGCGGTTCCTCATCTAATCGCATCACTCTGCTGTCTCCTCCATTTTGTTAACTTCTAATCTGATTATCTGACAGACTGTCTGGTCAAATATCTCAATAATACTGGTCTAGTACGTCGGTGTAGGGTGTATCGGTGTAGGGTGTATCGGTGTAGGGTGTATC